TTTGCTTCCCGCCTCAAGGCTTGTTCACCACGATCACGCTTTTCCGCCGGTGGATCGGGGACTAACCTGGCGTCGACTGCTTCGGGTTCTGCTTCGGCAGACTCATGGGGTGCTTCCTCTACACTAGGTGATGTGGGAATCGGAATGTACGAAGACTTGCCGTTCCCGGAAGCATTTATTTCATACTTGTGTCCAATAGCAGTCATAGCCATACCACTGGTTGAAGGTAAATAAGGAACATAGTCTTTCACTTGAAGCTTGATCCTCTGCCCATTTGGTTTCTTAAAATATGGTGTATCATTTGATGGCCAAATGAACGACCAATCATGATCAATGCATAATTGTCCCACGGATATCACTGCCGGACTATCATCAAGTACATAGGGTTTTGCAGTGATTCCCAACAACGGGATGTTGAGATTGGCCTGGTCATTGGCCTGAAATACTCCATTGGCAGTCAAAAGACTGACCGGTTTTGAGGATTCAAACACTTCATTCTGATTGACCATCTCCCTAGACACCAAATCATTCGCACTGCCAGTATCTGCAATCCATGCGATCTCGGTCGCAGGCAATGTAACCTGTTGGTTCTTAAAACAATGCTTGCATCCCATTTCCGAATCGCAAAGATAGCGACAACGTGCCTCGACGCCGTTCAACTCGTTTGAAACAGCTCTGCTCAAACGTTCTGCTGCAATGCATGCATCTTCAGATGCCATTTCCAAAACTTCAGCGTTTCCTTTATGGCCTATGGGAAAACTGACATGCTTGCTTTGTTTTCGTGCAGCAACTGGAAACATTAAAGAATTGCCATGAACCACGTGTTTAAAAACTTCTGGTTTGTCAGCAAAAGAAAGGCACTTCACTTTTTTCCCCGTCCTGAAGATGATGATGGGGAAGAACTGGTGGCAGGTGTAGCAACCATGGCCACGCTTTCCAACGGGCAACTGATAGTAGCAGACTGCGATGAAGAGACCGCAGTAGCTAAGACCAGAGTGCGCAGCAGACAAACAGCGGCTGGGTTAGAAGGAGCACCTTTCCCACCTTTGGATTTCTGACTACCGCCAGAACCGTTGGAGCCACGAGAAGTACTTCGTTTCTTCTTCTCTCTTTTCTCCTTCTTCTTCTTGCGTTTCTTTCTATCGTCACTCGGGGCAGGAGTAGAAGAGCGATCGGGATGTTTGAAAGCACAACTCTTTCCCCGGTGACAGTCACCGGATTTCCAAAACTTGCAAACTTCCGATCTTGAACCCGGAGTCAACGACCTTCCACGTGAAGAAGATCTACCCTTTCCACCACCTTTGGGCCTCCCTTTGCTGGATTCACGGGGTTTCTCATGTTTGAATGGGCAGTCGCGCCTACTGCACTTTCCTTTGTTCTGAAACTCATAACAAACGTCACTTGGGTCAATGACAGGAGCTGCAGGATCTTTGCCTCCAAGACTACGCTTCGTGGCATCCCTCATCTTTTCCAAACGCTTCCTTTCAAGGTATGCCTTGTGACTTAATCAAAAAGTCATAAGTCTTTTCGGCACTCCCTTCCGAGGCGCGTTCGTATATGGCAAGGTCATGAGCTAAAGGCTTAAAATTCTTCAGAGCAAGATGAAAATATGCCTCAAGCCACTTCTTGTCAACTTCCGTTCGCATCCCCGCAATGACAGACTCCCATCGCGTGACAAAACCTTTGAGGTCCTCGTTCACCATTTTAACACAGATAAGATCTTCAACATCGTAAATAGCACCGTGTTTAACGGATGTAGCGAAGTACTCATGAAACAACAAAAGAATTTGTCGTCCCTTAATTGGTTCCTTCGCTTTCTCTTTGGTTTCCTTAAACGTGTTCAATTGGCGAGCAAGGTCCCCCTCCGCGCAGTTCGTGAGACTTGAGAGTAGTTTGGCGTCCAGCGTTGTGAATCCCTCAGGGTCATCCAGGTCCTTAATAGTCACGGCATCTTCATAAACCTTACCTAGCCACAACCTGGCCTTGTCCGGCTTAGCGGACGCCGCTGACACGTTGTCCCGAACTTTAATTCGCCAATCCCTATACCTTTCAGGTGTAGGAAACTTAGGAATAAGGATCTTCTCGGCCTCTTTGGCCCTCTGTTCACGATCCTCTTTCTTCATTTTCTTCAAATGCTTCCTAACCTTACGGGCAAAGGATGAATCCTCAGAAGATGAGCTCGACGATGAAGGTGACTCGGATGGTGAAGGTGACCCCTTTTTATTCTTCTTTTTGTTCTTTTTATGAGGTGATCTGCCACGCTTCTCTTCCTTGTCATCTTTCTTCTTCTTCTTTTTGTCTTTCTTGCTCTTCTTCTTGTCATCGGATGAAGACGAACTTGATGAACTGGGATGATCAGGCGGACCACCTCCAGCTGCCTTCGGAACATTTGCCGCTCCACTCGCAAGAGCATCACGGTAGGGTTCGCCTGAGCTATCAGTCATTGATCTTTGCATCGGACGATACAGCTGACCAAGAGGCAGCTCGTTTGAACCCATTGGACCGGGAAGAGTTGTCCTGAGATTCGCCGGCGTTCCAGCAGGCTCAAAGTTCCCTAGAGCGGATGTTTCCATCTTCTCTCGAAGTTCTCTGATGAGCTCTGTTTGTGTCCTCAACTCTTCTCTCAGCTGCGATTCACGACTCTGTGCCTGTTGTTGTAATTCTGTCAAGTTGTGATTATATAGTTGAGCTTCAGTCAACGCAGCATTCTTGATGACTGCTTCTTGTGCGTTCATCTTAGCCTGTTCGTTTGCAGCCCAAGATGCAGCCCTTCGTTCTTGTAACTCGAGTTGCTCCTTGACATGGTCTTGTGCCTCGCGGTGAATAGCTTCCACGGTCTTTTTCACTTCTTCATCTTTCTTGGACATCAGTTCCCTGTGTCGCGCTTCTGCAATTTGAGCGACCTCAGCGGACTTGTCCAAGTTGACATTGATCATTCTCTGATCGTGGAAGTTTGCTGTCTGATTAATGACTTGTCTCGAATCGTTGTATGTACTTGACGGAACAAAGGCAGGGCTAGTGGGAGATAAAACAACAGCACCAGTCGGTGCGACTGGTGGCAACGCGTTCCCACGTGCTTCCACCAATGCATCATCACCAGGCTCTGAAGTGAAGACTTCCGTCTGTACATATGACCCAACCTCATCGGCATCACCGACTCTCGACCTCGATCGATCCGTGCCATCTCGAATTGGTTCGATGGGTCTATCCGCCATGCCACCTCACGTGTGCGCAGAACGAGGGTGGGTAGGTGACACAGCTACAACGGCGCGTACCGCTCTTTGGCGATACGGCTGATAACCTGAATTTACAGGCCAACAGCCTACAAGTACCAACATGTAGAGCGCCCTTTTCTTGAGCCAAACATAGAGGTCAATATGGTATGTACAGGTGTACAATCGTGCAAATACACTCAAATAGTGATGTTCTTGTGAAACCCGACCGATACAAATAATGGGACACGCCCAACAGAAAGGCATAGGCATAGTATGGTGGCCAAATCGAGGGGGGGGTCTGAGAGCATGTGAAAGAATCTCAAAGCAAAAGAGTTTCTAAGGCTTCATGACTTGGGATCTTGGGCACTCGACACCGGCGACACCGGACGTATGAGTCAGTATGAGTTCTCCACGTAGCACGGACACCCCAACGCTTTCTCCACGTTGGGCACCACCGAAGTACATGGAAATTCCAGAAGTCCAACAAACCGAGTTAAAGAACCTCCTGAAAACCATGGGCTCTTCACCCTCGACTCAGACCTCGGCCTCGCCTCCCCCCGACGTGCCCGACGAATCGCCAGGGCGCTCGCGTGCGGCCTCCGCACTCGCCTGGTTCCACTTGCTTGCCGCCGTCAAGCTCCTCCATCGCGCCAGTCCTTCCTCCTTCACCTTCCGCGGAGTGGGACGTGGCGACGGCTCAGTGCCCCTTCCACTCGCTGCCATGGCGACACGGGTGGACAGAGATGCAGAGGCGATGGTGGAAGTTGGAGCTGAAAACTGCACCGACGCAGTCGGGTCATCGGTCGGAACGGCTGGGCTTTGGTGATCGGGGGGTCTACACGACCTCACCTCTTAGGAGATCAACACCCTAGTATATATGAGGAACTCATGACAACTCAGCTCTCTATGCATATCCCCATAGTGCATCTACATTGAGAATGGCTAGTGGCCATGCAAAGTGTTTTTCAATGCCCAACGCTCGGAATCGGCGCCCACAATGGCTCCCTTGACCTCGCCACCACCCTGACCCCTGACAGCTTTTTGGCCGCAAGGCATTCGGGGAGAGACTGCGGCGAAAGCAGCAGCGCTGCTCGCGGCGGCTGGCAGCTCTTCCACCATCGCCGCTGAAACAGTGAGGAGCATGGTCCAGGATAGATAGACACATCCGTTTGACCAGAAACAACTCCCGAAAAGTCATCGAGTCATCGTTGACTCGACTGTTCTTTTACAGGTCCGACCCATCGGCTTCTATTCTGTCAGTCCGAGAATTCACCGACCTTCTGTATGTCTTTTTATGTCTTTTGTATGCGTTTGTATGATCATGGTCTGAAGACCTGTGGGCGTTCGAGATGCATCACATCGAAGAATGAAACACATCTTCAGTGCATTCACCAAAGGAGTTGCTTTCTCATGCTTGGAGAAGCACACCCGGGAGGACAAGATCTTCGCAGGTGTAGGTTTCTGAGAAATGAATTCGTGCAATTCATGGGCCGTGCCTTAGGCAATGGATGGCCCAGGTAGCCCCACCCCACCCATTGGAATAAGTATTTAGATCTATTTAGTGGACGGCCCATTGAAATTCACTGGCCGAGCACCACTCAGCTGCCTTTGAGAGAGCACCACCACTCCCACGTGCGCGCGCACGTCTCCCAGGTCAAGGAATCTTGCAGAAATGCCAAGCCCGCGAAGATCGCTAACCACAAGAACACCGCAAAGAGCACCACCAGCGAATCATTGTCACGTTCGTCCCACGACTCCAAATCACTTTGTGCAGTCGCGCTCTTCTCACTCGGACGTTCCTCACTCTTCTCCCAGCTTGGCGCTGGTCGCGCTGCGCGACCCGCGAAGCGCTCCTCGCTCTCTCCGCTCTCCACCTGCTCCATCAACTCCCGATACGCGGCGCCGATCGCCGCGAAGCGCGCGCCACGCTCGCGGCGCTCCGTCGACCGGGCCACGTCCGGATGCGCGGTGCGCGCCAGCGCGCGGTAGCGCCGGCGGATGGCCGCGGCGTCGCTGCCCGGCGGCAGATCCAGCACCTCCCAGGGGGTTCCCTCCGCGCCGGGCGCCGCGCGGCGCGCGGTGGTGGGGCGGCGCTGAGAGGGATCGGTGGTCGAGCTGGTGAAGGTGAAGCGCCAAGGCGAAGAGGTGCAGAGCTGAAGGGCCACAAAGCAGAGGAGTGCAAGAGGTCGCTGTCGGGCCATAGCTAAAATCTGTTGGAAAGGTGAATCTTGGGGTTTGGGACTGGGGGGGAGTCTTCGGTGGCTCTGTCGTATCTTGGCTTGGAGCTCGAAGCGTCTACAGCAAAAATCTGGGGAAAGGGAAGCCGTTGCCTAAGTCCAGCGCATGTGAATCATCCGAACGCATTGTCAACTCCAAAGGTATAGAGGAAAAGGACACTCCAAAACCAGGGTGTTTGTTGCCGTTCTCCTTCCAAAGGTGTGATTGTCCCAACAAAATGTTGAGACAAACAAACCCACTGGTGGTTGATGAAGGTGACAGTGTGGGTCCTACTGAGATATTGAGATGATTCCAAATGAGTTCTGTTCTGCGTGCTACTCCTCTGGTGGACTGCTTAGATGCGGACTTCCTGACTTCCTTGTAAATGGACACTTCTTTCAACTGCACAGTCATCTGGAGCCACAATGGAAGCGCATGGTATATGTCAATGACAACGTGGGACGAGCCAACTGACACTCTTCGTCTGGCCATGAAGTCTCTGATCCTCTCATCAAATCCGTTGGAGTCATCCTAACATATCCTAACTAGGGCCATCAGCGGTAACACAAAGGGCACCGCTCAATCAACGGAGGTCATGGAGATGGAGCAAAAAGGACACCTTCCGCATAGAGGCCACCAGGAGCTGGGGG